ACGCTATGCAGGGCAACAGCGATTCTCGTCCTCCGTGCTTGCTTTTTCTCAGAATGGGGCTTGGTGAGCGTTTTCGGCCGAAAACGTGCACGTTTGCACTTCCCCGCCAGAGAGAAGCTGTTAGCCGGGAATTCTCTTGCTGGTTGTGACCGCTGCCCGGAACGCTATGCAGGGCAACAGCGATTCTCGTCCTCCGTGCTTGCTTTTTCTCAGAATGGGGCTTGGCTGCTCTCCCTCCCGGGGACCCAGCCTCTCCCCGCACGGCAGCGCAGCCACACTGGCTTCCTCGCCGTGGCTTGCGCTTACTGGTGTGAGTACTGGAGGAAGCTCTTTGTTTTCCAGGAAGGCTCTAAAATCATCTGTCCTGGGTGAACCCAGACCCTTGGTCAAGACCGCAGCCTCGTCCTGTATTGTGGGTACAAAGGTCGCTTTTATTCCCCAGAGATTGCAGCCGAGCGTGCTCCTGGGGCAGCTGGGTCTGAGCTACCCCTTCCAAAGGTCCGAAACAGAGTTTTGAGCTTTGTGGATCATTTTAGAGACATTAAAGACCCAAGACCCAGGAATAGTCTTATAGATGAGCAGCATCTGCTAAGTTTTCCCCTGTGTAGTTTAACAAATAACTTTCTGATCACCCTTCAAACCCGATAGCACCATTGCTGCTTCCTTCTAGTGCTGCTGTTGTGCATCAGCACAGCATCTGGGCACCGCGCTGCCGTTCACAGGCATCGCCCAAGTGACTTTATTACAAGGAATTACACCAGCTCAGGTTTGAGTCCTTTGTGGGTCTACTGCTGGTCCTGTTTGGGGTGCAGAGAGGCCTCATTCTGCACAAGCCTTAGGGTGTATGAACTTGTTCTTGGAGTGAACCATAAATTGGAGCTGGGTGAGTCTTGCAGGGAAGTATTGCAGGCACTCAGAGAAACCACCCTCTGCTAAAGGGCTTCACAAAGTGCTTATGTCCCAAGCACTTCTAAATGAGCAATTTGCTTTCCTGTACAGAGAGTAAGTCTTTAAAATTGTTGTGCAAATGAGAATTCTCAGCATTCAGTGGAAAAGTATAAGGGCATCTTCACATCCCCCATTTGGAGAGGAAAGTCTTGCCTGTGCTGTAGCTGAGCCCCAGCACCTCCAGAGTTGTTCGTCTGAGCTCCCTCTGCCCCTTGCACCAGGGCACTTTCCTGTGAGGGAATGAGCAATCTTGCTAAAAAACATTTCTTCAAGGTGAGGAGGCCAGAGCCCAGGTAACCTGCTGGCCTGGACCCGCTGCCCTGAGGTGTGCCCACGTTCACATCAACGCTGATTTGGGCAGAGGGATCTGGCGTGTTTTCCTACGAACACCCTTTGGTTGGTGCCGCATGCGCCACGTGCTGAGACATTCTTGCCCCAAACAGCTTGGAGTGAACAGAGCAAACTCAAAGTTAACTGCGACCACTGCTGGGCTGTAGACCAGCAGGGCCAGGTCTCCTGTGCCGGTGGAGGTCCACGGGGGCCTGCAGTGATGGCGGGGGCTGGACCCAGCGCTTTGGCCGCTGGCGCTGCTGCCTTGTGCAGACGAGGGGTGGCCGCTGCGGTTCAGCTGCCGTCCCTGTGCGTGTCTGGTCCTTCCCTCCGCCCGGGGCTCTGCCCTGTCCCCAGGCTGTGTGCGTCTTCTGTCAGCGCCAGCTCCCAGAGCCCCTTCGGTCTCGGGCACTGGGCTGTGTTTCCTGTTGATTCAAAGAGGGTCAGAACCCAGCAGTGTCCCCCCTTTTCTCTGGGCACCACTAAGAACGAGCCCTTTCAGTATTTTTCCCCATTAACACCTCAAAATTGGAATTTGTTTCTGCCTCTCAAAGAGCTGACCTGCTGAATTCCTTTCTCCTTAAGCATGAGGTGGTAAAGCCTGCAGGCCCACAGGATGCATCAGGGGAGTTGCAGATTAATATAGCATTACACATTCCTTCTCCTGCCCCTGGAGTAAGCCGGCTCTAAAGCCAGGCGTTAGAAAATGGTCAGCAGGGAAAAAGCGAGCTGGAAGCAGGCTAAGGTTGTTCCTGGAGTCGAGCTGTCAACTGCAGAAGATGGGCCCCAGCCAAACCACAGCAGGCGAGGAGCCAGGCGGCTGTGCCGGTGCCGTGGGGTGTGCAGCAGCCTCTGGGCCGCCGCCTGAGGCGGGGGAACCCGAATGGTGGATGGTGGACGGGCTCCTTGTGGGCTGCTTCAGCCTGGGACCACGCAGGATGGGGAAGGGGCATTGGGCAGCGCTGTGGGCTGGAAGACGTTGGCCGTGGTGCCTCAGGAAGGATGTCAGGGCAGGCGGTTTCAGGGTAGCTGTGGCTCCAGGAAGCAGCAGTTTTCCTGGGGCGCAGACCTGGTCGGGCCCCTGGTGTTGGTGCTCCTGACCTTGGCGAGACGGGGTGTCCCACGGCAGCAGGGTGGAGGATGCTCCTGTGTGTGGAGCTGCCTGGCGCACAGCGGGAGGGGTGCCAGGTGCTCGCCAGGCCGTGGGGGTGCTCCTGGCCCGGGGTGACACCCTGGGCTTTAACCTGGCACAGGGACGTGGCGGCCTGGCAGCAGATGCGGGACGGCTGCTGGCCCCGGGCCGTAGTGAGGGAGGGTCCCTGTCATCTCCGCTGTGCCGGAGCGTTGCCAGGGGCTGCTGTAGCACAGCTAAAACAAAACTTGTGTCTTCACCAGGGAACAATGAGTCTTATTTTCCATTTGGGGGAATTTTTTTTCTTTGGTTGCCTGGAAGCTCACAGGGTAAATGCAGAGGTGGCTTTCACGTTGTTTGTCTGGCCTGTGTAGGCTCGGCCAGTCTCCGAGCAAGTGCTTTGGCTGCTGAGGCACATCGAAGTGCTTTGCACACTGGGATGTGTGGAGATAACCTCACACATGGCGGGAACCCCCTCATGTTCCTGAGGGTGGTCCCCAGCACAGCGGCTCACTCCTGGCACGGCAGCAGAGACAGGCCGCTGGGGCCATCCCCCACGTGCCAGCATCCCCTCTCCCTCATCGTGAGCTCATTAAGTGTGCAGCCTGGGTGGAAATATTCTGTCTGCTGATCTTAAAAATAGTGTTGGGGACATCATCATGTCCCCAAAGGCTGGCTTCTGCCTGTGTCCCTCTAAGTTAAGACGGTAGAAGTGGCAATGGCACGCTGGGGTTCTGGAAGAGGCCGGTACCTGGGTGGCTCTCCCAGGAGCGGAGGTGCTGCAGTGGGACTCAAACCAGCGGTTGGGTGCCGTGACATGCACGTTGGGGCACTCGGCAGGCCGGGTGCTCTGCGTGTGTCATTAATAAAGACATGGTGCATGACCCCAGGAATTAGCATTTGGCGCAGAACAGATCTGGGGGGGCGAGGGGGGAAGGAGCCACAGAAAACAAAAGTCTTGCCTGAAACCCCGTGGAGTGTCTGTGACTGAGGAGACTCGGCTCTGTGGTCGGCGTGGGTCGTGGCCGTGCCTCCCTCACCAGCCGTTCTGGCTCTGCACCCCTCTTGCTGGGAGACTTCTCTGTTTGTTCTGTCCAGGAGCACTGTGGGTTTTGCTGGCCTGGCTGAGGGCTGGAAGGGGACAAGCGCTCTGTCTGCACGCAGGAACCGGCAGATGTTTTGCTGCAGCACCGTCCCTGAGAATAACTCCCTTGTGTGGGAAAGAGCCCTCCATTCTGCTGGACCAGGAACAGAAGCAACGTCTCCCAGCTCAATAAATTCATCTGCCAGTAGCACAAATCTGCGTCTGTGCTGCTGGGTGGTCTCTGCTCCGGCTGGAGACGGGAACCTGGAAACAGATTTTTATTCTCTGGTGAAGTGAGCTTTCGTCCCAGGATGCATCCTGATGGAATCGCCTGGGCTGGCGTTTCCCAAGAGGAGGCTGTTGGCCGCTGCCGGTGGCTGGTGAGCAGGGCTGGCTCTCCTCAGTGGGAGCTGTGAGGCTGCCTGGCAGGCCAAAACCAAAACAGAGAAGATGCCCGCTCTCGGGGTCATGCTGGAGGGGCTCTGGAGGTGGGCAGCGCACATGAGAGCTGTGTGGGTCCGCTGGGCACCGTCCTCCCGCTGTGCTGGGGTCTGGGCACTGCATGCCCGCCTTGGCAGGCCACGGGAAGGGGACGTCAGCAGGCCGTGGGCCATGCCCTGCGGCGAGTGGCTCCCCTCAGCTGCGTGCCTGGCCCTGAAAACCCCTCTCCTTGCCAGCACTGTCCTCCCACTCTTGGCAGCTGCCTGCCCCTGCCCGTGCCCGGCACTGGGGCCACTGGCAGTGCTGGAGCGGGGATGGCAGGAGGCTGCCCGTGGCCAGCGGTGCCGGTGAGCCGGTGGATGGCTCCTGACCCCAGCTGGGGGCTGGCACCTGGCACCCCGTAGCAGGGCGCCTGGGCTTGTGCCCCCCTTGAGGGCTGAGGTTTGACAGCACAGGCACTGCGCTGCTCTCCAGCTGACTCCTCACCACCTCCTCTCTCTTCTTGCCAGGAACGACTGTGTGTCCTCCCTGCGACAACGAGATGAAGTCAGAAGCCATTGTGGAGCACCTGTGTGCCAGCGAGTTTGGTAAGGAGGGCTCTGGGGGCGCAGGGAGGCTTTCCTGGGGGCACAGGGCAGCGTGGCTCCTGAGTGGGCTGGATCCTGGACCACTGCGTTGCCCTGTCTGCCCTGAGAGTGGGGTGGCCAGCTGTGCGGCCGGGGTGGCCTGGTCGCCCCTGGATGGGACTGGATGGGACTGGACGTGTCTGGCTCGTGCAGCAAGCGCGCCCGGTCTGGGACAGTGGGGTCCCGCCATCAGCGCTCCATCGCCTGAGCTCTCCCGCCTGCCTGCAGAAACGCCGGTGGGACGGGGCCCCGAGCGCGGGGTCGCCTGCTGGAGCGGGATGCTGCGGGCTGAGGCCCCGCTGCTGCTGTTGGCCCCGCCTGCGAGCGGGGAACCAGGTGGTGTTGGTCTGGTGCTGGGGATGGGGCAGAAGTGGCAGTGCCTGTGCTCTGGGGAGCTCAGTGGGGTTCGTGACTTAACCCTGCTGTTCCCCTGCTCTCGTGTGCCTGCGGGAACGATGCCTAGCATAGACCCTTGCTCTGCTTGCAGTCATAGAGGAGCAAGCCAGTTTCCTTCTCCCCCCAGATTGCTTGTACTGCAGAGTTTCTTTTTAGCAAAGTTTTGCTGCTATTGTCCAGTCTCAGGGTAAAAACCCAAAGCCAGTCCTTGTCTAGCTAGGGCCAAGCAGCGAGCTTAAAAAATGCAGAGCTACTTGGAAGCGGTGTTCTGAATATATTATGACTGAGTCAGACAATCGTAGGTAAACAGCACTTCATTTAGAAAAAAAAGTATCACAGGGAAAATATTAGCTTTCTCAGATCAAACCCCGAATTAACTGCTTTTGACATCCTTGCTGGTGTATGTAACGTTCCCGGAAGGTTATTAAAGGCATATTGAACAAGGTGTGCATTCCTGGGGGATTAGCGCTTGAACGTGCCCTGCACCAGAGCGCACTCTGCAAACCCCAACCTGCTCTGCATGCTGGCCCGTTACCCTTCTGCTGGAGGTGAATTCCCAACTCTCCTGCAGACTTGGTATGCCAGAAGTCCTAAGTTCAGCACAGGGTTTTTCTAACGGGGAAAAGCATCAACATGAACACCCATGCAATAGATTCCCAGGGATGCGCGTGTTTCTGGGTCGGGTAACAGATGTGTGAGTTCGGTACTCGGGGAGGGGTGAGTCGGCCTCCCAGCTCTGCCCTGGGCAGGGCCGAGACCAGCCGTGAACAGGAGCTGCCCCAGCCTGCGGCATCTGTGGGGGGGAGGCTGGAGGGACCTTTCCAGCGTGAGGGAGGGAGTGAGCGGCCTCTGGGAGCGGCGCTCCTGGTTTGGGCAGGGGCTGTGCCTGGGTTTGTGGGGACGCAGAGGCATCGCCCGGCCCAGGGGCGCTGGGCTGGGGGACCCCTGTCCCGGTAGGGTCGGGGGGCACTGGCTGGGTGGCAGCAGCTGTGGGTGGCTGTGATACCGGTCACCTCCCCAGAGGCGCGAGGAGCAAGCCGAGGTGGCGTCCCGCTGGTGGGCGAGTGCTGGGAAGGGAAATACCAGTTTAACCACATGCTTGTCATCAGCCTCTGCCGCTAAATATCCTCCCCGTGCTCTGGGACAGTTACACAACGGGGAGCAGAGGCCAAACCAGAAGTTTTCACGGCCTCGGCAGAGCAGCTTCAGACATGGACTTGCCCACAGAGTAAGTTGGTTATTGGGAAATTTTGTGGTGACAGCATCCAGAGGATGGAAATATTTCTTGGCAGGCAGGTCCCGGGTAGGGCTGCGGCGAGTGGCCAGCACAGCGTTACCGTGCGCTGCGAGCAGCAGAGTGGCAAGGAGAGACGACCTCAGCCTGTGCCTGCCCGTGACCTGCCCCAAACAGCTGAGAAGGTTCTCACAGAAGCTTGAGGTTGGGGGTGGTGGGGACGGGTCCCTGTTCCCAGACCGGCTGTGCTGGGTCCCAGCACGGAGGGAGAGATGTAGGAGCCGGCTCTGTGGGCTTGGCTCGCTGGGAGGAGCTCGGCTCTGCCCGAGGGGCTGAGGACGGCCCTCCCCGCCGTGTCGGGGCTCGGAGGTGTCACCAGTGCCCTATGCCCACGTCTGGGTGACAGCAGCTCGCACAAACACACACGGCTGGATTTGCACCTGCTCGTGTGAGCCCTTGGGGTGGCTTTAGCCGTCATGTCAGGTATCGTAAGGGTGCCAGTGCACCCGCCTGACTTGCCCAGACCCCTGCGCTTCTCCAGCTTTGGATGAAGTTTCTTTTCTCTGCCAAAGCAGAGTCCGATGGCTTTCCTGATCATTGCAAGGAATTTGGGATCATTCTTTGTTCTGCAGATCAGCACAGCTCTAACATGTAACTTTATTTTCTTGCTGATGATGAGGTTGCTCCTCCTTCCCACTCCTGTTTTCTCTTTCTGACTCAGAAAGAGGTTTTTCATTTGAAAACAAGATGACCTCCCTACTGTGGAGAAGTCAAAAGGCAGCTGAGCAGGACACAGCTGGTGTCTGCTGTGTGTGAACCATCACTCTGTCTTCACAAGGGAAAGCTGGTCGTGTCTTGGACAGGCTTCTGTTCCCCTGCTTCTCCCTGTCACCAGACTCAGTCGCAGTGGGGAACTCACTTGCGTGCATTTTTTACAGCTGCATTTGGTGTTTTCTTCCTCCCGTGACTGGTGCACAAGCACTGCCTCCAGATGTGCCATCTGTGGCCAGCCGGGGAGCCAGAGTGAGGGCAGGGATGTGGGGCAGGGTGCTCCCAGGACGTCCCGGCTGCGGAGAGCAGCCACAGGGGAGGAGGCATCGGCTTCAGGAAGTTTTCCCAAAGCACAGTGCATGGCCCTTGGGTCTCTGTTTAGTCTTGGGGTGTTACTGTCCGGGAGTGATTTCTCAAGGAGAGCCGTTCATCTGGCACTAAAATAAACTCCCAGCCCTTCAGAGTGAGACTTCTCATGTGCATCCACCAAGGTAAACATCGGCAGCTGACAGGTTACAGGTCCTCCTCAAAGCCAGACGTGCACGCTAAATGTTTAAACGAAGGTGTGCTGCATGGGGCAGCTCGTGGCGGGTCCTGCGCTGGTTCCTGCAGTGACGTTACGGTGGGTTTCACTTACACCCTGGTGACTCGTTACAGACAAGATGTGAGGAGCACGTTGCCCACTGCTGATGCGCGGCCGTGCCAGGGTGGGAGGTGGCTGTGTAACAGCCCTGGGAGCAGTGTTGGTCTCAAGGACAGTGAAAGAGGAGAGCTGTCTCCAGCCATGCCGTGGCTGCACGCTGGGACCCATCTGCCCGCGCCCATGCCCCGCGGAGCCGTCGGCACTGCCTGTGGGCAGAGGGACCTGGACAGGCACCGCCAGAGGCACGTGGAGATGAGCAGCTCCTTCTCATCTCGGCAGCGTGCAGGAGCTGCCTCCTCTCTCCTCCACCCCAACTCTCTCCTTGGAAGCGCCAGCACCGGGAAAGGGGGAATGTTTTTGTCCCACCACCTCTGTGTGCGGGTCCCAGCACGGCGCCTCGTGTGGAGTTTGGTTACTGTCCCCGCTGTCCCCGCAGCGGGTCCGGGGGCACCTCGAGTGCGGCCCCACGCCTCCCATGTGCCGAGGCTGGGAATGGGCCGCAGAGGCAGCGCCCACGGCTCGAGCTGGGGCCAGCGAGTGGTGCGGGACCCTTGCTGTGAGCGTGGGCCAACTGCCGTTCAGGTTCTGGTGCAGCTCTGGTGTGCGAAGAGCAGCCACGGGTGGGAGATAAGCGTGAGATCTCCCTCCTGTGCCCCGCAGCCGCTTCCCCCCAGCCTCCCTGGGCTGCAGCCAGCGTTTGTTTCTTACTCGTGCAGGCTGGGCTGGCCCTGGAGTTCATTCCTCTCTCTGTTTCTCTTGGTGATTTTATTTATTGTTTCTGCCCTTTCTCTGGGGTCTGGGGGGGATCCTGCTGAACGGGCTCTTGCTGCACTGGAGACTGCAGTACAATCAATACACGCTGTTTATTTTTTCTCATGACTGACAGCTCCTTGCCTGCAGCCTTCTCCTGTTACAGCCCTAATGTGTCTTCTGGCAGGTTTCCTCCTTCTGAGTGATTTCTCAAGGAAAGAGCACTGAGGCTGAAGGAACAGCAGAGCTTTCCCTTGTCTCACGTTCCCTTCCCTGCCCCTGAGGTGCTGGTGTGGGGCCCCTGCCTGTGCAGGCAGGAGAACAGTGGAGATGGTGTCCCAGTCCCAGGCTCCGGCGAGCTGAGGGGTTGGAGGTGCCTGCAGGGCACGGTCACAGTGGGCGCGTGGTGGTGGGTGCTGAGCAGGGTGCAGGGGCTCGTGAGTCTCAGGCTGTGGCCACCCCTGGTACAGCGCAGCCCTCGGGACGTGGGGAGGGTGCCCGAGCCCCGGTGCTGGTATCAGGGAAGGAGAGTGCTTGGCTCTCGGGCAGTGCTAATATGGTGCTCCCAGTTTGCCTGGGAGACTGGGGTTTCCCCTTTCCCCATGCTGGGGCGGGACTGGAAAGCTGGACGTCGACAAGAATTGCTTCAGGTGATGAAACACAAGTTGTGCTTTGTCAGGCTGGACCCCAACCAGCTCTGCAGGGCCTTTGCTGCTCTTGGAGCTGCTGCTGCCAAGAGCAACTTCACTGCGAGTGAGCAAACGCTTCCATACACCCTCGTTCGTATCAGTAGAAATAGAAAAAGACGTTTTTGTATCTCCAGCACTCCCTGCTCTCTCTGCACTGGAGATCGCAGAGCTATGCTGCCATCTGATACCAGCCGTTTGGGTAATTCGTGGCCTGGTCTGACGGGTGCTTCACCCTGGGCCGGAGTCTGACCCTCTGCTCGTGGGGGCTGCGGTGGGTGGTCGGCAGCTGCAGGTCTGGGGCTGCCGCTGCCCCTCTGGCGTGTCCTCCCTGGGCATCCTGAGCTGGAGAGATGCGGAGGGAAGTGTGAGGCGGCTTGGGACCGCAGGAGAGGAGGATGCTGGGGGGGTGAGGCTGCCCGTGCTGGCCCCTTCCCCACCCTGGAGGTCTCTGGTGGCATGGTCCTGCGGGGTGAGGCCTTGGGAGAAGGAAGGGCTGGTTGGGCTCGTGTCAGGAGCAAGGACGCTGGGAGGAGCTGGCCGCAGCTGCCGGCTGGTGCGTGCAGGCCCCTTGCAGTAGTCTGGGTGCAGCTGTGTCTGATTCTCATGCTGGCAGCTCGCTGTGGCGGTGGGCAGGGTCTGCTGAGAGGCTCTGTGCCGGTGCCGCGCTCTCGGCGCCGGCTCTCCCGGCCGTGGCAAAGCTGGCGAGTGGCTTGTTCCTGGGCAGACAGCGGCTTCGCGACGCTGGGGCTGAGCAAGGGCAAGTGCGGGTTTAGCGCCCCGGGATGATTTCTGCTGTTGTGAACACAACGTGGCTGAGAGCTGTTGAGTCCCAAATTAAATCCTGAAATCTGCCTTTGTTGTGTTTTGTTTTTTCCCTCCCAGCCTGAGTAATGCTTTCACTTCTATGTTTTCTGGGAAGAGCCTTTGAAGTGGGTGGCTGGACGCTGGCTGGTGCGAGAGGTCCCCTGCCGTGACTCGCCTGCGAGCAGACGCACCGGCAGCGCTCACAGGGAGGATGTTTTGGGACCATGCATGGCATGAAAGTAAAACCTCTCCCTGTGCTGTGCAGGAGTCCCCTGTACCCTGACACCCTCAGCCTCACCGCCCTGGGGTGAGGGGAGTGGAAGGGAGAGCCTCCTGCTTGGCTGGTCCCGCCTGGCGGGGAGGGACATCCCTGTCCCGTCCCTGTGGGCAAGGATGTCCCTGAGGGGTGTGTGGTGTCCCTGGGGAGGTGGCTCGCCCCCCGTCCCGGCACCCAGGGGCTGCAGCCCTGGCAGCGGCTGTGCTGCATCCACACTGTGTCTCGGCCGTGATGTCGCAAGCAGAGCTCAGACAATGCCTGGCTGGAAGGGGCTATCCTGGCTTTACGGGTGGTCCTGGCTGCAGGCGGCTGCCAGTGCTGCCGGGACAGCAGCGAACGGGGCTCCTCTGTGTCGCCTCTCTCATGGCATGGCCGGGAGCTGCCTCCTGGTCCTGTCGGTTCACAGGAAGGTTCACGGCCTCTCCAGCCCCCGAGGCTGCCGTCTGTCCGTGGGCGCTTGTGGTAGAGGGCGCGAGGGCCTTTCCGTGTGAGCGCGTCAGGATCGCAGACGCTTCGATTAACAGGGGCTTGGGTGCAAGTGGGAGGCATCAAGCGTGTTAGGTGAGGAGAAGTGACTGCACTTTAGCAAGGGAACTTGCGTTTGCTGAGAGGTTGTGCTGGAGCGCGTGTGAGCACAGACCTGCTGCAGCGCTGGGGCAGCCCATGGCCGGGCTGGGGGCCCGCCCGTGCTCGTGCTACGGAAAACCCTCGGGTCACTTCCTGGGGTCAGCTCCCTCCTGGCAGCGACGGCTGAAGATTTAGTGTGTGTGAGCAAGCGCGTCCTGGGGTCTTGGAGGCAATTTCGTCTCTTCTCCCGCCCAGTGCTGAGACAGATTTGGTGCGGCGCGGCAGGAGCGGAAAGGCCAGGGCTCCCGGGGAGGAGGCTGTTTGCTTTGGCAGCTCAGCCGGGTCCCGGAGCCAAGACTCAATCCGTCTCGCTCGAGCCATTCCCCGCTGCTGGGGTGGAGGTGTCCCCAGGGCCAGGGTGATGCCAGGAGAGCTGCGGTGGCAGTGAGTCGCACGATGGTCCCCCCTGCCAAATCCTTTGTGTTTTAGGGAAGCCATGAGCCGAGGGGCTGCCTTCCGCTGCATGGGGTGTGCTCCCAGGCCGGGTGTACTCCTGGGAACCGACGTGCCCTCAGGCTCCGCTTTTCTGATGTGCCTGGGCAAGGCCAGAGCCGCGCGTCTGCCCCGCTGCCGCGGAACGTGGCTTGTGCCGGGAGTCTCGCCCGGAGAGCGGGTCTGAGCTTGAGGAATGTGGCCCAAGTAAGGGAGCAAGGGGTCACTGGGGAGCCACTGCCAGAGGGGTGACTACTCAGCAGTGATTTTAATGCCGTTTTATCTCATGTGACTGCTTAGCCCACAGCAAGGCAGGGAGAACTTGGTCGTCCCTGAGCCTGCTTTTCACCTGGGGAGCACTGCAAACTCCCTTGGGGCTGACGACAAGAAGGGCCTTGTTGCTGGCAAACTATTTGCACCCTGGCCAGCCTCCTCCCTCGCTGGTCCTCCTTGGCATTATCTGATCTTGGTTCTGTGCTTGGATGAGTTTTTAGTTCATGTCCGGATTTAGGGTTCACCTGGGCAGCTCCTGCATCGCCGCTGGTGAACAGGTGAGCGGCGCTGTGCAGGGGGGGGCGGCTGGAGCCCCCACGGCACAGGGGGACCAGACCCTCCTTGTCTTCCACAGACTGTGGTACTGGAGTAGAACAGCACCTCCACAAGCTGCCAGATTGTTTTCTTCCTCTAGCAACAACAATCTAAACTTGCAGCGATCACAGCAATTTGCAAACAAGCCATTTTGAAAAAGTCTCTTATTACTGGTGTTATAACATTCCTCCTGCACTGGCAACCACTGTGCTTAGTGCAAGAGTTCAAAGTCAGAACAGATAAAGAAATTGAGGTTCACATTGAGGGATGCTGCTGCACTGCCCATTTAATATTATGGAGCTTAGAACTGCCTGAAAACTACTTGCTTCATTTTCCAGATTTGTTGCAAATTGATCTGGTTCAGCATCTTTAGCTCCTTAAAGCTTGAGTCTCTTTAGCTCCTTAAACATCCTGAATTTGGAAAACAGATGGAATGAAAATTTCTCTTTAGGTTTCCAGTCCTGGATTACTGTCTTGTACAGTAACACTGTAACATGACAGGGCTCTTGGCAAACACAGCAGGCGTTTCTGGCATGCGGGCAGATAAATATCATTATTCCTGTTGCCAGCGTGGTGGCAGGGAGCACGAGGGTAATACAGAGACTCTGCTGCCTTCTCAGGATTGTCATCGTGCTGTCCTGCTGCCATTCGTGTCTGGAATGGTGAGCAGAGCTGCTGTCCAGAAAGCAACGTGTGCTCGTTGCTACAAGTTCCAGCAGAGCAAAACTTCAAGAAACGATGCTGCGGGGACCCGTCTCCCTGCCAGAGCCAGAGGCTTCTGCATGCTGTCTGCTGCTCACGCTCTGAGACTCAAATGAGAAGGGACAGCAGACAATTAATCACCTATCTGAGCACTATTTATCTGCAGCTCTGAAGTAAACTCCCAAATGATGGAAATATGTTAGTAATTTTTGGCCATATGTGCTTTCCCCCCAAAATGAGGCAGAGCCAAATGGCACAGAAGTGATACTTTAATGTACAACACATTTTCATCATTTTTCCCATATATACTAAATTCCTCTTCATGGTTGTGGCAAAGGAACATTAATTTTCTTTTTTTCATTTGGGACGTGATTAACTCGGGAAAATGCTGAACCCGAAGAGGAGAATATTTTCCATGGAAGTTGTATGGGATTAACTCCCCTTCTCCTGGGGAAGGTGCAGGCGTGTGGCTGCTCTGCGTGGCTCTGGCTCCCGCCGCGGGTCCTGTAGATGTGGCCGGGGGCTTCGCTACTCGAGAGTGAGACATTCGGTGCGTGGAAACTTGTTCCACAAGCACCAGAAGGCCGGGAGTGACGGCAAACAAATGCTCAAGAAGCCAAGCTGACCTTTTAAATGGCCCTTTAAAGAGTCTCTCCATGTGTCTACAGCAGGGAAATCACCCTGATTACTCAGTTTTGCTGCCACAGAGCGTGTCACCAGCTGAGCAAATCTCCTCCCAAATAAAAAGCACCCGGCGTGCTTTGCCGGGGGGAGGGAAACAGACATTGGTGTTTTACCTCGATGCTCTCCCGGGTGCAGGGGTGGCTCCACTTCAGTCGCGAGGGGTTTTGTCCACGGGCCCTTTCATTGCCGGGGTGATGCCTTGGGGAGGGGACGCGGGGCGGTGGTGCGGGACCACTGTGGCCGTCCTGGGGCCCCCTCGCCCCCAGGTGCGCTTGGCAAAGCCTTTGTGCCGGTGAAGGCTGCTCAGCAGTTGTTTTGTTTTTCCCCTCCCTCTGGCTTGTTTTTCAGCCCTTAAGATGACCATAAAGGAAGTGAAGAAGGAGAACGGGGACAAGATGATCGTCCCGCGGAAGAGGAAGGCGCTGAAGCTGGGGCCCATCCGGAAGAAGAACCTGAAGAAGCTGGTGCTGTTCCTGAAGAATGGGGCTGACTGTCCCTGCCATCAGCTGGACAACCTGGGCCACTACTTCCTCATCATGGGCCGCCAGGTGAAGACCCAGTACCTGCTGACGGCCATCTACAAGTGGGACAAGAAGAACAAAGAGTTCAAGAAGTTCATGAAGAAGATGAAGTCTCCTGACTGCCCGACATTTCCGTCTGTCTTCAAGTGATGCAGTGGGCGACGGGAGAGCTGCCGCCTGGACCTCGCGCAGCCTGACACGGCGGCTCCTCTGCTGTGGGGACACTGGAGCCGAGCCCTCCTGCTCCTCCCTCGCGCTCCTCGGAGCTTCCCTCGCCGACCCCAGCCCTCCCACCTCCCTGCTGCCAGCATTTGCCTGATGGCCCAGGCGCGCGAGTGTGACGTGCATGCACCAAACAGTCGCTGGGGTCACACGCAATTGATGTCCCCAGTGTCCAGAGACCTGTTGCTGTACAGATATGTGCATTCCTTTAAATAGCAGCTATCAGGTAAAGAGGGCAAGCAGAGGGGTGTGAAGTTATGTCAAGAGGTTACACGCTTGCAGAAAGGACCCTTGTGACTGTGTTACTCCTGTCTTTGTGGCTGCAGGATTGCCCTAAATCAATTCCTGTTTGAACCAGAGCCGGCCAATTAGGAAAACATCCCTTACTCACTATAAAAGTTAAACAAGTAGTGTTACAACCCGTTACAACCTCGGATAAAACCTCCTAAGAGCTAATTGCCCTCACTGTAAAAAAATCCCACTGTAGTCTAAACCTGCTTAGTTTAAGCCTTAACCCTGGGGTCCTTGTGACGCCTTGATCGGCTGGATCGGGGAGCCCTCCCTTACCAGCAGCTCTGGGGTGTCACGGGGATGCCGGCCCCTGCCGCACTGACCGGGCTGAGCCCCTCGAGCCCAGCACCGTGCTGCTCCTTCTCCCGCCCTGCCCGGGTCGAGGGCGCAGCGGCCCGGCCGCGGGGCCGGTGGCAGAGGGGGAGCTGCCTCCACCTGTGCCCCGGCCGCAGCAGCGTTCGGCTGAGCGTCCCCTCAGGCCTCCCACATCAGCACCTCGTGGCAGTTCCCATGCCCCCGCGGCCGGGGTGGTTCGTGCCCGGACAATTGTGTGATTCTGTTTCAGCCACGTGCAGACACCCCCCCCTTTGCTGAGCAGCCCGGCACTCCCAGTTGGGGGAGAGCTCACGGCGGCTCCTCCAGCCTGTGTCACTCCCTAACTCTACCAGTGATATTTTTATAGTTTCTGCAGGCTGCTGGCAAAACTCCAGATTCCAGAAGCCCGAGGACTTGTGCCTACGGAGTGCCATGGGAAGCATCTCTGTCTTTCCCTCTTTGCAGTCGCTGTGGGACCTGTCGGTTTCTAGGTTTTTGTTTGATGTGTGGCAACTTGGCTTTGTATCATTCTGGGTTTCTTTTTCCCTAATCAAAATGTCATGTTAGTATGAGGTCAAACAGTTTATGAAAGATGAAGAATATTGCATCCAAATGATTACATTTATCGACCAAGCTGAAATTCATTATTCCGTTAATTGGACAAGTTCTCTTTTCCATAGACCCATATCACTCCACATTAATTATACTATCCCGCTTCCATTCAGTATTCTCATCAATCACAGTTACTCTAAGAGAATGAATATCTTGCGATCTGAGATAATCCTGTTGTATTGCAGTTAAGTGAAATAACAAATCCTCATTTTTGAGGTTTAAACCAACCCCACTCAAAGCTGGTAAATTAATTATTCTTTAGCTCGGGAGTGCTGTTTATTCCCCACGTGGGGACAGAGCTGCGGACTTGATTGTAGAAGAATTCTGTGACGAAGCCAAGCGCACAGAGGAATGATCCTTCACAGCTAACAGATGGATTTAGGACGTGAACTCTGTAGAAAGTCCCTCTAGGTTGTTCTTAGACCACCATTTGTAGTAGCGTTGTGTCTCTGATGCAAAATTAATCATTGTAGATAATGTGCTTTATCAGTGAATTAAATAAATAAACCATGGGCTTTAACATCACAGCCTGATGAGGTGAAATGGTGGGGGAGGCTGACGGATCCAGACACAGGTCGTGGCCCAGAGCGGGGCCGTGCTGGGCTGAACGGCCGGTTATCCTGGAGCACCCAGTGAAGCCCAGCGGGGCCGGGACCTGCCGCCGCCACCCGCCTTCCTTCCGCCGCCGAGCAGCGAAGAGGAGTCGGTTGTGCAGGAGAGAGAGGTGCTTCATCCTTGCATGGGGCTGGGGTTTTGGTGCTGTGGCCACCCTGGGAAACCTGCCAGTTGCCCTGTCAGTTACTTCAGACGCCCTCTGGCCCCGTGTGTTTGAGGAGCTGAGCAGCCTGGCACGTTGTGTGTCAGACATGGTGGTATTTGGGACTTTTCCATTTTACCATTCTCTCGCCAAACCACTGTGATCTGCCAGCTGTTCCCGCGTGGATCCAGTAGGTCGGTGGACCAGTCATCGCTCCGCTTCCCCTGTGCTCTCCTGGTGTGTGTGGGCTTTTGATAAATATAACAGGACTAAAAGAAATGTGTTTCATGTAACATCCTGTTGTCGGCAGTTATCTTTACATTTTGTTTTAATATTATTATAGATAGTTAATTTAGAGAAGTGTGACAGATGAGGGAGGACTGTTTCTGCTTGGGATTTTGAGAAAGAGAAAATGTAAAAACACAGTGAAAATCAGCGCTGTGGAGAACAGCCTTTTCCAGGCAGGGAATAAAAGCATTGCAGTTACTAAAACTGTTCTGCTTTTCCTTTTGCTTAGTTCAGCTTGGGGCATGCTGTGTTATTAGCAACCTCTGCTTTTGCAGTTCACTACCTCAGTCTAACTTTCTCCAAACTCTTGAGTTATTAATGTGGCTGAGAGATTAATTTACTAGGAGGTGTGTCATGTTGTGTATAGATAAATTATAGCCCCAGAAGGATGATGGAGAGTGAGTATCTCTCCTGTTACTTGGAAAGAAATTAAGAGATCAGGGTATTTGTCTCTGGCAGGATAGCAAGCATGTGCACATTCTTTCATGTCTGTTACTCAGAACTACATTAAACCCCACAAATAATGATCTGCAGCCCCTTTAGGCAGATGCTGACGTCCTGCCTTTAAACCCGTCACTCTGAAAGGGGGGTGATCGCACCCAGCCCAGACACTCACTGTGTAGCAGGGGCAAAGAACTGATTTGGAGAAGGCCGAGCTCGTTTGTGGAAGCTCCGAGGTGATTTAACGTGTGGCCGTGTCTGGCCGTTGCCTCCTGACGGCGCCTGCGTGACAGCGGTGGCTGCGCTGTGTCCGCGAGCTGGGGGTGGTGGCTGGCGGGGGCCTGGCTGGCCGTCGGGCTGTGAGCCAAGCACCCCACTTCTCCACGAAGGATGGGGTCTCAGCCCCCCCAGGGTGGCTGCGGGAGGGTGAGCAGCTGGGATGGGAACCGCTGACCCTGTGCACAGGGGCTGCTGGGGCCCAGCACTGGTCTAATGGCCGCGCCGGGACGCGGGGAGAGGCCGGGACCCGCCGGCAGCCGCCGGTGACCCCCCTCCACCGGGCTGGCACTGGGCAGCTGCCAGCGGGCCAGGGCGGCGTGCTCAGAGTTGTGTGTTAGTATCAGGCTAAATGTTTATAAAAGTACCTCTGCTTGAATTAATGCTCGCTGAAGAGCTGAGGCATAATTATGGGTGATATGACTTAAATATTGTGCTGCCCAGCTGAATTAGTGCAGACCCGAACCGCCTGCTCCAGAGTGTTTACAATTTCTTCACTGTTTCATATTCTTTCTTCTCACTCACCCTAAATGTTTATTTAATAATCCTGGAAGACCTTTTAATCTTCCTGGGTTTAATGTTTGCTAAGCACCCTGTCCCTTCCACTCCTATTGATAATTCCTGGGCTGCTGCAGAACTGCGGGGCTCCGTGCTCTGCCCGAAAGCCGAGCTGCAGGACGGGGGCCCCAGACACCCGTCTTGGTCCCCTGGGGCCTGGGCCCCGTCACCCACCGGGAACAGAACTAACAGGGAGGCTTGGAGCAGCCAGCGGCGGGGACCCTTCTACCCCAAGGGTGAGTGTTGGGGCCCTGCACCCCTCGTCTGCTCTGGGCGGCTCGGGGACCCAGTGAGAGTCCTGGGGCAGCAGGAGCCTCGGCCACACCGTCCTCGGGGTGTTCCTTCCCCGTCTGGCTCACACGAGCTAATACAGACATCTGCAAGCTGGTATTGCACAGACGGCGTAGGTGGAGAGCTAACGTGAGGGCTTGTCAGCTGGATAATCTCGCCTTCACGGTGCATAACCCCAGTCTCCGAGCTCTCCTTGGGCTCTGGCAGTATTAGTTTCAGCAAATTCATTTTCCTTCACAAAAGCTTTTGGTTACTTTAGGATTAGGGACTGTTTAGAGTTCATTGTTTTCCTGAGCTGCCTTGTTTTGCTGTAATGCTTAGACGCCTGGTCTGCAGGAACTTAATCTCCCTTCTCCTCCAGCAGTACTGTTCTGTGAAAATCTGTTCTCTGCTTTAGTGCAAATTGTTGATGGGAGATAGCAGCGGGTCTTTCTGCTTCTATTTAACGTGTCAGCAGAGAAAGACATCTGCTTGCAATTACGGGCATGGCCTTGCTGAAGGATTGGCGTGGTAGATTTTATAAGATAACAGGAAATCTTTATCAATTCATAATTCCTTGTGTCATACAAAGGAATATATTTCATTTAAAATATTCATCTTTTTTTATTTTACAAAATTAAAGGATAAACCATGAGATTGATATCAGGGGAAAATGCCTTGTGCTCTGCGAAGAGCAAGTCCTGGGTTTCCCACACAAAAGCCTCTGAGCGGGTGAGGGCCGGTCTGGGGAGCCAGAGGCTCTGAGGCTGCTCCCTCGCTGCCTTCTGCGACGTGCCCGGAGAGCCAAATCCTTTTGGAAATGATTTGCTGGCTTTACAGCACAAAAACATGAAAAACATGAAAATCGTCCCCAACACAGTGCTCAAAGCATCGAACTCTCCTTGAAGGGGCAAGCGGCTGCAGACAGGCACCTCTGCGAGCTGGTGGGGAGCCCCAGCAGCATCCGGCGCGTCCCCGGGGCTGCGGGAACAGCCGTGGGACCCGAACGCTCGGCTCTCGCGTTCCCCAGCCCGCTCTTGGCAGTGAGGGATGCCTGCCTGGCACAGGGGTGCGAGGGGCTCCCACCCTGCCGGTGTGCCAGGGGAGGGGACCTCCGGGGGCTCAAGACATGCTGGGACAGGCTTGTGGTGACAGACAAGCTACCCCGCAGTGCTGGGGGGCTTCCCCCCCGACCTGGCTCCTTCTATCCTTCCCACAGCCCAGAGGGGGCCGGGTGGGAGCCTCCGGCCTGGGGTGCAGGGAAGGGGCTGATCCCCTCCCCAGTCCCTCGCTCTCCCCTCCAGGGCTGCTCCTGGCAGGGTGAGCTGTCAGCACAGCTATTCTTGGCCTTCCTCAGCCCATTCGTCAGCCCTCCGGGAGTCTGCTGTAATCTCCTCTGTGATTAAGGGTCTTGGAGCATGTTCAACATCATTAAAGAAACAAGAAAATAATAATAATGATGATCTGCACTCAGGAATGCTCCCGAGTGGAGTCAGAATTGCGTTCGATGCCTTTCATGCTTCAGCCTTAGCAGATTAACAGGGGTCACATCCCCCGGCTCCGAGAGGTTTCTGTGCTCTCTCCTCTAGCAGCGCCAGCTCCTGATCCCCCCTGAACACCCTCTGCCTGGGTGCGGATCTTCACCTTTGGGGAGGGCTGGAGGGGCGCCTCTGACTGTGGAGGTGGTGGGTCTTCGCTGCAAACGTGGGAGAGAGGCAGATACCTCTTGTCAACAGAGGTGGCAAGGTCCTGGCCTGGGCAGCTGGTCTCCTTGCTGATTTGGAGACGCTCTCCCTGTTCCTGGTGAGATAACGAACATGGGGCTGAGACCCTCCCCTGGGGCAACTCTGGGGCAAGAGGCAAAAGCGCAGAGCGGATCGAGAGCACCGGGGATGCAGCCGTGCTGCAGCGTGGGCACGAAGCGTGACGTGCGTGGCCGCCGCCGCGCTGTGCTGGAAACCCTCCTCCAGGCTGGCCCCAAAGCCTAGTGCTGCATCTGGGGGCTGCAGCGTGCAAGGAGTACATGCACAGCTCTTAGCTGGAAGGAGCGTGGCCTGTGTGCTGCTGTCAGGTTGTATTTTTCCGTATCGAGAACTAAAGGTCCGGTGGGAGCCTGACTGCAGGATCCTTTGTGTGCAGCCCCGCAGTGCTGGGCAAGCGCAGGGTGCAGCTGGGTTTGATGCCTGGCAGGACCGCTCTCTGAGCGCACTGCAGAGATCTGTTGGGCTTGTCCCCTGCAGCGTGCCGGGGGGTCTCTTGTGCTGTCCTGTGCTTCTGGCCCCCCCTGTCCTGGCTGCAGGACTGGCCAGGGGCTGCAGCGGCCTGTGGCTGCGTTTGCGGACCTTTCCCGTCGATGGAAGGACACAGGATGCTGCGTCTGTCAGCGTGGGCTGGAGGAGCTGCCTGTCAGGCTGGGGGCTCCTCGCAGCCCTTCTCTCGCCCTCCGGCAGTGGGAGAGGCCGCTCAGGGGGCAGCGGGCAGAGGGACGCCCTGAGGAAGCTCTTGGGGATGGCAGCAGGTCAGGGTTTCAGGGAGCTGGGTCTGAGCTAGCCAGGGTTTGGGATTGTTCTGCCAGAGCATCTGGTGTGCTCCGGGGATGCAAAACATCTCCTGGCCTCTTTGGCTAATGGCACTGCCAGTGCACGTTGTGTGAGAGCACGCACACGCAGCCGCTAGCTCCTGACTGTCCCCAGCCCAGGAAAAACCAGTGCAGCAGCGTGCGATTCTGGCAGGCTTGGGAACAAAGCAAAGAAATGAGAAGGGTGGAAAATCTTGGGCTGGTTTCTAAAACACAGTGAATTTCTGGGTGCTGCTGAAATGGCCAAATCTTCACTGAGGCATGGAGAGGACATATGGCAGGGGACGGGGGCAGAGTGTCAGAGGGCAGCGGCCGTTCGGGGGCTCCCACTGCAGGGGGACCCTCTGCCAGGCTCCC